TCTCACCCTGGACACCCTGTGCCATTTATTCCCCTTGCTCATTTTTGTACATGTACAATATTAATATCACACACTCCCCCTCAAGATATAATCATACCGATTGTCGTGGAATTGTCACGGCAGATGTCCTAGTGAAAGGACTTAGTCGTGGAGCCATCGCAACTATGAAGCTTAAAGGGGTTAATCGGAACAAAGGACACGAGGTTTATACTAGTTCGGCCCCTTACGGTGAAGGTAAAAGCCTACGATCCAGTTTTGAGTGAGATTGCTTATGTCTCGATAACCAGGGAGCGAATCACTTGACCTAGCTCTCGAGTTGATGTTACTTGTCCTGAACCGCCGTCGGGTCGCCCCTTTATATACAGAGGTCGACGCCCTGCGGCTCATAGAGTCTCGGCCGGCTCATAACCAGTGTCCGGCTCGGTCTCTTAACTATTCTTGCCTTACAATACAAGTCACGCATACATGGCGGTTTATCACTACGGGCCTTAAGTCGCCTCTGGGCCTTGGGCCCTTAACTAAACCGCCATCTATATCCTGGATCTTCGGCTTCAAGAATATTTGCAAGTATAACCCGGCCCCTCCTGGACGGTTCATACCAATAGTTATATCCCCAACATTAGGCCCCAGATTGATTTGAACTGGTTCATGTCAATCTTTGACACTTAAGGAAAAATCTTCTGCCCTTATGAAATTTTTGTAACCCGCCATGACGTCATCCTCTGAATTCGTGGTAACCCGCCATGACGTCACCTGTCATAAAAGCACATTTTATCCAATGCATCCCAACGGATCTTTGTCTTGATGACCATCCCGAAAATCGAGGCGTCCTTGTAGTTGTATAACTTATATTTTCGGCCTCCTCGTTTTTCGCGCTCTTTTAGTGGCCCTTCCATATAAATAGACACGACTAGGTCTTCCTCATTCTTCCCTTTTCGCATCTTCTTCCTCTCGCCCCCGTCTGTCACTGGAGCTCCGCCGCCGCAGCAGCAGGGCATCTCGTCTCCGTCGACCTAGGCCGCTGCATCGACCTGAACTTGACCAGAAAACAGCGGCGCCCCTCCGCAGCAGATCCATCGCAGTAAGTTTTCCCCTTTCCGCACCATAGATCCATGCTAGGGTTAGCGAGTTCATCTGTACAGTTCCCTGTTCATTCCAGTTCTTCGCATTTGCTTCTGCCGTGGTTTCTTTGATCCAACAGTAAGTTGTATTGTTTGCAACCATTCGGTTTGTGACCGCTCACAAGCAATATAGCAATGCTAATTGAAGGTGGACTCCCAACTAGGAAAAAGAAGGTGGGACCCAAGTTGCAAGTCGAGGGTGGACTTGAAATCAGGACAAAAAATGTTGGGTCCCAGTTGCGAGTCGAGAGTGGAATTGCAATTGGGAAAAAAGGCCGAGCCGCAGTTGCAACTTGAGGGTGGACTTGCAACTGGGACAAAAAGCTTGGACCCCCAGTTGCGAGTTGAGGGTGGAATTGCGACCGGGACAAAAAAAGTCAGGTCCTAGTTACAAGTCATGGGTGTGATTGCAACTGGACAAAAAAAGCATGGTTCCAGTTGCGAGTCGAGGGTGGACTTGCAACTAGAAAAAAACGGGGCCTAGTTGTGAGTCGACAGCAGATTTGCAACTCAGACAAAAAAAATGTCGAGGCTCAGTTACGTGTCGAGGGTGGGCTTGCAAAATGGGAAAAATGGGTCAGGCGCAGTTGCATATCGAGGATGGACTTGCAAGTGGGATAAAAACAAAGCAGCCACTCGATTGCATGTTGAAGGTGGAGTTGCAAATGGGGACAAAAATGGGCATCAAAGATGAACTTGCAATTCAGGGAAAATGGTTAGGGCTGTGTTGTCTAACTAGAGTTGTTTTGCAGCTACGACAAAAAGGGTGAACTTGCAACTATTGACAAAAATGGTTGCCCCACCAAAAAATGTTGCATGTCGAGGGTGGGGACTTGCAATTAGGATAGAAAAAAAGGCGAGCTCGCAGTTGCATGTCGGACGTGGAGTTGCAACTGGGACAAAAGGGTCAGACCCAAGTTGCATGTCGAGAGGGTGCATTTACAACTAAGACAAAAAAATGAATCGACCTTAGTTGTATATCGAGGTATGGACTTGCAACTCGGACACAAAAGGCGGCCTAGTTGCATGTTGGGGGTGGAGGTGTAACTAGGATAAACAAAGGGTCACTGAATGAAAACCTCAAAATCAGAAAATCTCTAGATGAAGATAGGGCAAACGAGACAAAGATGGATCTGAGGCCACTCATCGCATTATCGTTGACTACCATCTTCTTCATTGCAAATACAAAGATTGAAACCCCAATCGACTCCTTTCTTCCTACCCGCTCAGCTCTACTCAAAGACAAAGGGAAATGGGAGAGAGACAAATGACGAATCAAGTTGAGAAGGCGACGATCAGCTCGTATCTTCAACTTATACA